GAGCATTGTAAAGCTATTGAAATTTTCTGGTCCAGGTGAAAATCCACGGGGAACGAGGTCTTCCATCAGCAGATGAGAGAGGAGACACAAGGGGACCCATGGGGATGGTCAAGCTGGGTCACCAGTGCTGTGTCCTCACACACAGGCTGGTCTCCAAGAACCCACTCACGGAGGTCAGCTTTGACACTCTGCCTGTTTCCTCTAAAGAAACCAAACACCACAAAATAAGATCCAAATAGGAGGCCTGCCCTGCACGGTGGAGCAGGAATCTTTTCAAGGGTGTCGCTGCTCCTTCAGTCACAGGAAGACCTATCAGAAGAGTGTCTGTACTGCCCCAGGACAGGACAGCTCTGCCAGAGGGACTGCAGTGACCGGAGTCCTGGGACAGGTGGGGCTACTCCTCTTGCTATGTCTTCCTGCAGGTGCCCAGGGAGACCCACCTGCCCAGCCCACCTGGTGATGAGACACGTTCAGAAGACTGACAATGCCCCAGACTGGGCTGGCTGGTTTTGTAAATGAATAGGTTGCTGAGAGCATGGAAACCCAAAAGGGAAGTCTGGAGGCACAGGTTAGGAGGTAAGAAGGTGCTGAGGGAGGAGTTACTGCTTGGTTGGGACCTGAGATCCAGGTGAACTCAGAAATCACACCTGCAGCTTGGACTAAGAAAACTTCACAAGATGCTCATATTATAGGATTTTTTAAAAAGGAGCATTATGTCTGGTGCTCACAGCATCCAAGTCCTCTCCCTTCAGTGCTTTTCACTCCCGGGTCGTCACTGCTGGAGAGGTGGAGAGAGTCTCAGTATGTCCAGTCTGAATGCTGCTGAACATGGGGAGCTGGGAGCATGCCACCTGTGGGCACAGCACAGACAGACAGCCCCTCCGAGGCTGGACAGTTGCAGGAGGAGGAGAGGGGAATGAACCTCACAGAGTCACTTTTTCATCTCATGTAGGTGTCTTTCAAACGCTTAAACCTTATTTGCTTTCCTCATTCAACCGTCTTTCTCAACATCTCTATCTTATAACCCTGAAGGTAAAAATAAAAGAAAACGCTGTTGTACCGCTTTCTGTGATAATGCTGCTCCATTTCCATTTCCTCGCACCACTCCAAGGACCAATCTATCTTTAGAGTCAGTATTACGAGAGGAGGGAGGCTAGAGAGCCTGGAAGGAAAAGGTGAGTGGCTGGCAAAATAATTGTTGGTAGGAATTTTAGGAGTTTCTTCAGTGTTATAAAATCAGATTTCCCCTGTGTGTCTGGGCTCCTAAATCACAGGGTGTTCCCTGTGGCAGAGACCAGAGAGGTCCCTCGCGCACAGGTCTCTACTCCCCAGCAACATGCTCAGCGCCCCAGTTTCCAGCGGGCGAGTCAGTGACCCGGCAGCACTGGGCTCTGCCCAGCAGGAGCTCGGGGCACCCACCTCCAAGGCCCGGCCACTTGTTTTGCCCGTCTGTCCTTTCGAAGAACGTGTAGTGCTCTGGGTAGACAAGGAAATCGTGGGCAGTGAGGCTGTGCAGACTGAAGTGTGTGGCAGGATCCTCCCTGCCTGGGCACCTGGCAGCCAATGGTGGTGGGTCACCCAGATGCCCACTCACCAGGGACACGCACCTCATCCTCCCAGGCCAGGCCCTGTCCTCCAGTCCTGAGGCACAGGTAACACCAAGTGCAGGGATGTAGGCAGCTGCATGCCGGAGCAAAGAGAGAACAGATAGTGAGGGAAGGAGACCCAAGCCAACCGAGTGCGGACGGCAGGTGTGGGAGAGGGAGGGACACTGTCTGAATGAGGGAGACCTTCCTGGGAAGGTAAAACAGGTTCAGTCCCTGCTCTGGGCACACACATGAGGCAAACAATCGATATTTCTCTCCCCCCCGCCGCCCCCATCAATAAAAGCGTATTCTCGGGTGAGGGTTAAAAAAAATCCAACATCCATAACTTGTATCTGCCTCAGGACGTAGCACATACTGAAGCTCGTGTGCCTTTCTCGGGCTATGGAGGTTTCTCAGTGCCACAGACCATTCTGATTGTGGGTCTTTCGCAGGTGACAGAGGTCTCTCGGTGCCACAGACCATTCTGATTATGGGTCTTTCTCAGGTGACGGAGGTCTCTCAGTGCCACAGACCATTCTGATTAAGATCATTCCTCACCCTTGATGAGGAGTCAATGATTTTAATAATGATTTAAAGTCATAACATAAGCTCTGTGCCATGTAGGGTTTTTTTCTTTGAAAGGGAGGNGAGTTAATGATTTTAATAATGATTTAAAGTCATAACATAAGCTCTGTGCCATGTAGGGTTTTTTTCTTTGAAAGGGAGGAAGGGGGTCTGACTAGGGATCTTGCTGGATTTGAATTTATCTGATAAAAGTTGACCTGCACAGTCGGAAGAAAGTGGGCCTGTACTCTCCCCAAACTCCAAGATCTGGCGTAGCAGACCTAAGGGAGAAGCCAACTCTTCATGGAGCCTGCAGGGCCCGGGTCCCTGCTGCTCAGGGTGCTGCCCAGCTGCCCAGCAGCACTGGACCAGCATATCTGCCCTCCTCTAACCAGGCGACACCCCGTCCCCCTGGTCCTGCCTTTTATCAGGGGCCTTCCCACACTGTCCCAAACCACAAACTCCTGCCCATTCTGCCAAGTTCTGGGTTAAAAAGCCCCCATCAGAGAATTCTGTTCTGACTGCTGCCGGCTGTCCCAGGAGGGGCCTGCTGCTGGAGGAGTTCTGGTCACCGGTGGCGATCGCAACTCACTCAGCCTCCTCCTGCACAGCCTGTCATCGCCATGCAGAACTTTTTATCAATTCCAGCAGCAAAGCTCAACCTTGGGCCCCAAGTAGCTGTCAGAATTGCAGGAGTTCATGAAAATCCCCAGCTGTACAAAACCCAGCGCCTGTCCTACAATAACTTTGTAACTATACATCTACACAGGCAGTTCTTTCCCAGTGTTAGATGCAAATTAATGCTGGACACAAAGGTGCTGAATAAACTGCATGGAATTGATGTAAGAAAACAGAACTCCAGAATCAGAAACAAAGATGCGACTACTATCTTCATGCGATCTACATAATCAACTGAACAACTACTAACCAGGGAGGCAAATGGACACTGACAACGGACATTTTACAATCACAGCCCACAGTCGTGTGACATGAACCCCCTCTATTCATGCCACCTCTTTGCTGAGGCCTCATCCCCATAGATATAATTTTACCCTTACATGGATGGCACCTTTATATCATCAGAGAAATCATGAGCACTTGTAACTTCTGGCCATAAAATGATCTGCTACTAATTTCAATCTCCACCACAGAACATCGTGATAGAAGGACAGCGTGTACGTCAGAATTTGGGCAGTTCCCACCCTCAGCTCACGTCACCCCCAAACCCAGGGGCCAGGGTACAGCAAAGTGGAAAGCAGGCCCCAGCGTGTGGGAGCTGCAGCCTGCGTCTGCACTGGCATGGCCTGCTCAGAGGTGGCCGCAGGGCACGTCCATGCTGATGTGTCCCAACACACCAGCAGGTCCCTGGCAGCTCAGCCTTACATGGAGGCCCCTTCTGCACTGTAAGCAGTTACTTCTAGAGCTCATTTTCCCTCCAGGTCTGTGAAAGTACACTACCTAGGGAAATCATATATAGGGTGTCCCAAAAATGTATACACACTTTAATAGCCGATAACTCACTTAATTTTCACTCCTTTCCATGTTTCACTTGTTTGAAATAATGGGTGATGCCAGACTAAGCTTTGACAAGGAAAATTTATCCACTAGACTTTTTATTGGGGACACATAAAAGAGCGAATTTACGGTACAAAACCAGCAACAGTTGATGGACAAATGAGAGCACACAACTACCTAACAGAATGGTTCTAAATGTTGGAGATTCCTGTGCTTTGAATTATCGGCAGGGCCTGGGCTAGAATGGGCATCAGTTTGAAAATGTTGACAAAAAAATATTCATTTCTGTAGACTGTTTTAAATTTTGAAAATTAGCTGTATGTTAATAAACGCTGACTTTATAATTCGTCAAAGTGTGTCTACATTTTTGGGGGACACCCTGTACTTAATGCCATAGTTTCTCCTGTGGGAAAAAAAAAAGGCACCTTATTGACCCTCAGAGTTTGAACTATAGACAGAGTATGAGCCATGCAACCTCAGATCNAAAAAAAAAAAAGGCACCTTATTGACCCTCAGAGTTTGAACTACAGACAGAGTATGAGCTGTGCAACCTCAGATCTTTTTCTGAGAAACACTAAAAGGCGGGTCTTTGGAGCTTGAAAAAATAAACTAAGACTCAAAGAGCTGTCATTTGTATCCATGTCTAGTATTAATGAGGCCAGAGATCGCCTACAGTCGCATGATTGCAAATCATCTCATCTGAAAATCTGCACGCAGTAACGTGTGGCGAAGGGGCGAGACGTGTTGGGTCACTGGAAGGAGGTCTCACTGACACCATCACAGCGCCATCCCTGGCTTCTGCCACTATCAACACTTAAGCTAGCAACACACGCTACCGAGTTATGAAGCCAACCATGAGCCATGACCCGCTTGAGAAATCACACACAGAAATCCACAATGAGAATATCAGCAAGAAGTGAATCAGTCCATCAGATCAGAAAAAATAATTTCTTACCATGTTTATTGATGACACAGGACCAATGCTGTTAACATAGATGTCAACATCGATTATGGTCGGTTTCACTGTAGAGAAAACACACATGTATTAATACTTGTGCCTGAGGGACCGAGGAGAGCGCTACTCAACTCCTCTGCCTCACGTACCCGCGCCTCCCGGGGCTGCTGAAGGGGGGACTTGCACCACAGTTACGATTCACACCCTGCTTGTCTTTCTTTCTAAAGTTCTCAGAGGAGGTAAGGTTCTTACTTGTATTTAATAAGTTCCAGGAAAAGAGCACATGTATTTGATAAATGGCTATAAAGATATTCTGTGACGTGTTAGGCTGATTATATGGCAAAGAAAATATAAAAACATAAAATATAAAACACTGCATAGTAATTTAATACCAGCATCTTGCTACAGTATCAGGATGGCTCATGTTTATCCATCACCTGGCTGCCTCGTTATTGTTCCAAAGCAAAGATTGGGAGAGTACACACAGCAGAAAAGGGTAAGAAATACTGATTATGAGGGTCAAATACTGATTATGATGGTCACTGTGACTTAAAGACACACACACACACACACACACTCACACCACAGACTTAAAATCCTACAACTCAGNACTTAAAGACACACACACACACACACTCACACCACAGACTTAAAATCCTACAACTCAGACAAGAATAACACTTTAGTAAGTCAAGGAACTATGGTTTCAACTATGAGGGCATAAAATTTACATAATGAGAAACTGTAACCCTAACATTGTGCATCACAGGCAAAACCGGTTCATTTTACCTGAAAGAACCAGGTTCTCTTTCCTTGGTAGCTGTGGAACTGGGGAGACCAGCAAGGAAATGGCTGAGAGGCAGACCCCTGGGTTGGGGCACAGGCTCTCTGCGGGGCTCCTTTTCCTCCTCACTCAGCCCCTGATAAAAGGCAGGACAGCCTCGATTTCAGACAATTCCTGCCCAGGAGAAAATGGACAGGCCCCTGAACCTCTGCACACGAACTGGGCTGTTTCTAGGAAGACAAGGTGATTGTATCTGCAATGAATCCAATGAGCCCCCTTCGGCTTCGCCAAGTAACAGCCATTCACATGCGAACCTTTGAGCCCCTCTTCTGGAGCCACGAGTGGCACTTCTGAGCGTGCAGTCTCTAGTTAAACTGCGCACCCAACAGTCTGCTGCTGAGCCGCATTTTCCAGCTGTTGGCATTTTGGAAAACAGGCCAACAACTCCATGTACTATGAGCACCTGTAATATTCCCAATGAGAGGACGGGTGCTCAGAGAGGGGTCCACGTGGTTCATGCCACCCCTTCCCACAGCATCAGCCACAGATCCCAGGCCACGGTGGGCTCTTGCTGTACACACACAACCACAGTTCCTGAAAACTGCGGCTTTATGCTGTGATATTTACCTGAACTTTACACATTAAATGTGCACGTGAGATTGCAAACTGCAGCAGGAAGAGGAATGGTTTTAACATGTGTCCCAGAACCTAACAACTATGGGTGGCCCCAAATCATCCCGTGGGCAAAGGGCAGATGAGATTTCATGCTAGACAAGGACACTCCATGAAAATTACATTCACTCCCTGGGAGAGGAGAAAGCTGAAAGTGGCCCTGGGGGAGCCAATGCAACCACTCACAGTCCCTCATAAAACATGGGAACAGACAATGGCAGGGACACAGATGGGGAAAGAGGAGACACGGGGCTGGTACGTGCTGACAGGACAGAAAGTGAGGAGTAGGGAAATGCAGGTGATGACAGCTGTCCATGGAGGTGATCCCTAATGAGCTGCCCCAGACGGGGGGCAATATGGACGAGGAAGGGAGACCCCAGGGAACGCCAAGCAGACAAGCCAAGTGAGGCGACGCAGCCAGCAGGGCTGGCTGCCTGGCTGCCAAGTGGGGCTCCGCTGCTCCCCACGTCTGTACTCTTGAGAAGTTTCTTCACATCTCTGTGCCTCAGTCTCCCTATGTGTAAGAAGAGCTGACGATAGAACCTGACTCAAGATGGGAGCTGAGAGAGGTGGGTCAGATTGCTGTGAAGCACACAGTAGGTGCTCAGTGAATGTTTTGCTCTGGCTGTTGGGACCATGGAGGTAGACACAGAAAAGAACACCCAAGTCTTGCATGTGTCACCTTCCAAGTAATGCTTACATCTAAAAGTCACCCTAGCGACTTAAATTTCTGTTTTCTCATGAACAGTTTGAATATACTGATAGAAACATTTAAACATAAAAAAGGAGGAACAAATAATACCAACCCTCATGCTCCTGAGACTTCAATCGAAGGCTCTGCCAATAGCTGGGAGCCCCCTTCTGACCTCCCTGCCTTTCAGGAAAGGAGTGGGGGTCATCTGATCTCGGCCCCCAGCTTACTGCCCCTTCCTTTCCCTGAACTGAGTGCACTGGGCAATACGATGCATTAGCAGACTGGCCCCACCCCACCACCAACTTCCTTCCTTCAAGCAGTGCCTCCTTCAGACGGCAGTAGTGCTCACAGTTATTAATGGCACGGTAACAGGCACTGTGCATTCAATCATCATGTAACATCCTTCCTATCCCCATGTTACAGACAAGAGTTTAAACGTGACTGAGGAGATGGGATATCCCAGAGTCTGCAGCCTCACCGGAACGAAGCCCAGGGTCTGGCCCTCCACCTCCTGGAAACTTGACTTTGGTAATAAGCCCTAAGGGTTTCTGAGAAACAATGACATCAGTGGGAATATATCACCATCATCACCATCGTTGCAAATAATCTCCCCAGCTCTTCTTGAAATGTGAAGGATTCATCTCTGAGGCTTCTACTGAGTCCACCTGTACCACCTCAGCTGAGGTGTGTTTTCAAATGTTTTCTCAGCTTGGAAAATACTAGGCTATGGGGCTGGGGCTGGGGATTTGGGTAAAAAGTGCACAGAATGGGCAAACTTGGTTAATATTCCCAATCTGCCAAGTCCCTGGGTCCATGCAAAAATATTTCACATAGCCTAGTATTGGCACATTAGACCTAAGGACATACATAAGCAAAAAGTGAAAGGGTGGGAGATACTCCATCCAGATGGGAACCTAAAGAAAGCAGGGGTGGCCATGCTGAAATCCGACGACAGAGACTTTAAGGCAAAGAAGGTCACTATGTGGTGATAAAAAGGCCAGTTCACCAGGGACCTACAGGAGTGACGAATACATGTGCAGCTGACATCAGCTCCCAAATACATGAGGCAAACACTGACAGGAGGGGGAATAAATTAGACACATTGACAGGAGGAGCCTTCAATCACCCACTTTCAATTACGGAGAGAGCAACCAGACAGAATATCAACAGGAATCAGACGATTTGGACAACACGAGAGACCAAGTGCACCAAAAATACAAAGCACCACCCAACAAAAGCTGAATTTGAGTTCTGCTCCAAGGCCATGGAACGGTCTTTGAATAGTCTACATGTCATGCCACAAAACGAGTCTTAACAAATTTAAGAAGACTGAAGTGATATGTAGAAGTAACTTATCTAACTACAATGTAATAAAACTAGAAACAAAGATGAAAGGGGAAACAGGAAAATTCACAAATATGTGGAAATTGAATAACTCTCTTATTTTTAAAATATTTTTATTGACTTTTAGAGAGAGAGGAACATCTATGTTATAGTTCGGCTGCCTCCTGCACGTCCCACACCAGGGATCCAGACCACCACCTGCGCATGTGCCCTGACCAGGAATTGAACCAGCAGCCTTTTGGGGNATCCCACACCAGGGATCCAGACCGCCACCTGCGCATGTGCCCTGACCAGGAATTGAACCAGCAGCCTTTTGGGGTGCGGGACCGCAAAGCCCAACCAACCAGGCCACACCAGCCAAGGCGGAATAACTCTTATACAACCAACGAGTCAAAGAAAACATCACAAAGGAATTTTAGAATATCTGGAAACAATGAAAACAAAAACACAGTATTCCCAAACTTACAAGATGCAGCAAAAGGAGTGCTAAGGTGGACGTTTATAGCAGTAAATACCTACATTAAGAAAAGGAAAGATCTCAAACCAATAACCTAACTTAGTATCTCAAGGACCTACAGAAAGGACAAACTCAACCAAATTAGCGGAAGGGAGGAAATAATAATGATTACAGCCGAGATAAACAAAATAGAGAATCAAAAAAATCAACAAAACCAGGAATTGATTCTTTGAAAAGATCAGTAAAATTAACAAACCCTTAGTCAGACTAAGTAAAAAAGGGGGAGAAGTCCCAGTTAAGTGAATTATAAATGAAAGAAAGGATATTACATCTGATGTCACACAAATAAAAAATTATGAGACCAACATGAACAATTAAGCACCAACTAACTGGATAACCTACAATAAGTGGATACACTTGCATAAACATAAACCTACCAAGTGGGAAAATGAAAAAATATAAGTCTGAACAGACTTCTAACTAGTAACAAGATTGAATCAGTAATAAAACCTCCTAACACAGAAAAGCCTGGGCCAGATGGCATCACTTGGGATGTTTATCACACATTTAAGGAGGAATCCACAGCAGTCCTCTCAAAGCTTATCCAAAAGACTTCAAAGGAGGAGAAACTCCCAACCTCACTCTATGAGGTCGGCATCTTTACTCTGATACTAAAAAGCTGGACAAAGACACCACGAGAGGAGAACAGACTAATACCTCTGATAAATTCTGATAAGAAATTATCAATAAAACACTAACAAGCAGAATTCAACAGCAAATTAAAATTATCATACACCATGAACAAGTAGGAAATAGCCCTGGGATGCAAGGTGGCTCAACGTACAAAAATCAATTACTGTAACATTAAGAGAATTAAGGAAAAAACATGATAATCTCAACTGAGTCATAAAAGTATTTGACATAATTCAACATCCTTTCATGATAAAAAAAACCTTTCAATGAACTAGCAACAGAGGAAAACTACCTAAACATAATAGGCACACACCAAAAAAGAAAATTAAAGGCATCCAGACTACAAATAAAGAAGAAAATTATCTGTTTACAGAAACATTTTCTTGTAAATGGAAAACTCTAAAGATTCTACACACACACACAA